GGCTGAACAACCCCAACTCTTTCAGCCTGTCCTCACAGGGGAGGTGCTCCAGCCCTCTCACCAATTCTGTGGCTCTCCTCTGGACTCTCTCCAACAGGTCCAGGTCTTTTTTATGTTGGGGGCCCCACAGCTGAACACAGTACTCCAGGTGGGATCTCACAAGAGCAGAGTAGAGGGTGGGAATCACCTCCTTCGACCTGCTGCTAATGCTTCTTTTGATGCAGCCCAGGACACGGTTGGCTTTCTGGGCTGCAAGCTCACACTGCTGGCTCATGTTCAGCTTCTCATCCACGAATACACCCAAGTCCTTCTCCTCAGAGCTGCTCTCTATTCATTCTCCACCCAGCCTGTATTTGTGCTTGGGGTTGCCTCGACCCATGTGCAGGACCTTGCACTTGGCCTTGTTAAATTTCACGAGGTTTGCATGGGCCCACCTCTCAAGCTTGTCAAGGTCCCTCTGGATGGCATCCCTTCCCTCCAGCATGTCAACCACACCACACAGCTTGGTGTCATCAGCAAACTTGCTGAGGGTGCACTCAATCCCACTGTCCATGTCTCCAACAAATACCATCTTATGTTTCTCCATTTCACTCCGCAATCATTTTTAGTATTTTACATCAGAAGCAGGAGTATATTATACACTTATAAGTCCAAAATACATTTACCTGTGCACTGTCAGTATCCCGGATTCCTAATACATATGGGTTTCCTTCAAAAATTAATTTTGGTTTTGCTCCAGCACAGAGGCAAAGTTTTTCATATATATATTCTTTCCCATCTTCAGTGAAAATTTTCTGGTCAAAATTAAGAGAAAAGAAAAAACAAGTGAAGACATCTAAGAGAATATCAGCATTTTTTTCCTTAATGTCACAGTATTTTGCAGATATTAAAAGCTGCAACTGGCTTCTTAAAGAGCAAGCCTTCATACTCTCACTGTGTGTCATTTATTCCAATTACACTCACTACAGACTTACAAGCCTAAGTATATGACATTTTATGACCGATAAAACAAAAAGTGTACACAGTGAACTCAAACAATGATGAGATATAAAGATTACCACTTGGTGGCACTCTGTACTCACTATCTGTGTTAAAATAATGGGTTTTCCACGTGACAAATGTCATCCCCCCCACCCCAGTAATAGATGCAGACCTATACACTACTATACATTAGCAATTAAGAATCTCATTCAAAACATTTCAGCAATGGTAGACCTGTGTTAACTTAACTAGGCACAGGCTAGAATACGGTTTACAAAGACTGCAAATTCTGTTATTTACTAAAGAAAAAAGGTAGGCACTGAACAGGCTACATCATTCTGCATCAAGCAATACTTAAATTTTTACATTTTATGACCTCATTTGTTGTTTTACAAACTAGGAGCTAAACAGTTTACAGCAGTTTTGCACAAAGAAGACTTTTTAAAGGTTTTTGGCAAAAGATCCTCCAAATCTATATATATTAAATATTTGTGTTCACAGAGGCATACCTAAACCAAAACACCATTATAGTAATGATACCAGAATACAATTAGATTCAGAACATTAGCAGAATCTAACTGAAATCATATCTCTGTGACTTAAAAGAGATATATCAGGCTGTGACAGCCTTCCACTACATAGAGATGGGAAGCACTCTTTATCAGGGAGGGTAGTGATAGGACAATGGGTAACAGTTTTAAGCTGAAAGAGGGTAGATTTAGATTAGATATTAGGGAGAAATTTTTTCACTGTGAGGGTGGTGAGACACTGGAACACGTTGCCCGAGGAAGTTGTGGGTACCCCATCCCTGTAGGGCTTGGATGAAGCTTTGAACAACCTGGTCTAGTGGAAGGTGTCCCTGCCCATGGCAGGGGGGTTTGAACTAGATGATTTTAAGGTCCCTTCCAACCCAAACCATTCTGTGATTCTATGAAAAAGAGCAAAACCAGTTTGGGATCTCTATATGAATTTCTAATAAATGCTAAAGTGAAAAATAACATGTTGAGTTGACACAGACATTAATAAGGATCTGTATGTGCTATACATTGCTCATACTTGCAACGTATTTTCCACTAAAAAGAAAGAAAGAAGAAAAGGTGTAAATGCTGTTTCTTTCTTTTTTTTTTTTTTTTTTTTTTTTTTTTTTTTTGATAATATTTTGGTCTCCGTAGCAACAAGTGGTAATTCAGGAATCAGAGAAACCTCCAATCAGGGGTTACAGAAATTTTCAGACAACTATACTGATACACATTATTGGTTTCATTGACTGCTTTCCCTGCTATTCCAATCAGGTGTTCAGAGCACTACCTCTAAGGTGTCAAAGATTGAAATCCAGAAGATATGGTTTCTTAATTAACAAGTAATGTTTGATTTACAATTTTGTTCCCTGTATATATTTCTCCTTGAGCAAAAGTGTAAGTGATAAGTGAAATTAAAGTTAGGAATTCTTTTCTTGTAATTTTGAAAATTTAACACTTGAATAACCAAAATGTTCTTGAACAGAATTTCACTCCCAAAACATTCACCTGTTTCTTAGATTTTTTTTTTCTTTTATAAATAATTTGAAAAACCACATAAAAGTCAAGGAGAAAACATTGGCTTACATTTTCATCACTTTTCAATCGTTTTACTCCAGATTGTATAACTTTAATACTGGGATATCGTTCTTCTAATAAAGAACTTGGTTGCTCTTCAACATCAAACTCCTCGAGTGTTTTGGAGACCTGTAAGAAGAAGACAGGTATTTCAAAATATCCATCATATATCCATATCTTTTTCTAAAGCTTGTAACAAAATGTGTTATGTTCATTCCAGTAAAGAAGTCACAACATAAAGCCCATATTGTCTCAAACCATGTTATCATGTAACTGATAAAAGTTCCTTTTTATATAAAGAACCTTTTCATGCTTATTCCTGGTAGAGAGTCAAAGTACTACAGAGAATTTTAATTCTAAAGCTAGAGATGAAGCAAAAACAGAGAACCCTGATGGCTGCCCTAACTGCTATAATGTTTTATTCTATAAATAGACTACATTATTAGACCTGGTTAACACTGCTTTTTAAGTTACCTGATGCAGTGTTAAGACCCTGTTTCTCTGTTTGTTATAACTTTGATAAAATAACTCAATTATGTTCTCCCATGCAAGCATCTTCCTCTCCTTGGCATTTTGGGAAAGAAAAAAAAATGGTCAAAATAGCTTAAAGAATTATGGAAACACTTTTGTCTGGAATAATATTTTTATTCTATTTTAAAACAAAAATCTGGTGACATTTTCTTCAAAAACCTAATGATTCAAAAACCTCTTGTTGCAGGTAGTTGGCCTTTGTGTCAGGGAAAGTGCTTATTGCTGTTTAGCTTGTAAGCAGGACATATAGGACAAGTGTTTAAGCAAAACAGATTCAAGACCACCTCAAAGCACTTACTCAGCATCTCATCCATAGTCACTATTTGACATTTCAGAGACTGGTGTCTTCTTTATGAAGAGGGAAAAAAAACTTAACACTCTGCTTAACCCAGAACAGAAAACAAAACAAAACAAAAAAACCAACAACAACAACAAAAAACCCCAAACAAAACGAACAAAATAAACAAACCACAGGAGGCAAACCAGAATTTGGAAAATGTTCAAGTTATGTTGATTTGGGGTTTCTTCCAGAACCGAGCAGTTGCATGGGAACCGCCAGGCCTTCTACTTTATATTAAACGAGTCTAGAACACAGCTTAGGAACCAGAAGCCACGCCACACTTGCACTTTAGAGAGAAATTAATATGCTCATGTCCAAAACTTAGAGATGCTGCCTTCAAATACTGTTCAGCTATTCCCTTATTCTTCAGATGCTGAAACTTCTGCCAATGTGAACTACGGACTTTGTATCTCTGCAATGTGTGTCTTTCCTGGATACTCACAAGCCTACTCGTCAGCACTCTCAAACTCAAAACATATTCTTTAGTTGGGTGTTACTCCACCAGTTTCACATAGAGCTCTCAGTCTCTCAGCTATGTTCTGAGCATCCCATTAGCCCCAGACAAAAATTTGTGAAAAGGGAGAGATGCTGATCGCCAATTACAGCCACTAAATGCAAAGAATGTGCTGTTCAAATCTCTCAGTGCTTTGTTTTCCCCCTGTAGTGATCTAAATCAGGCATTCATAGACCAGGAAGTATTATGTTAAAACTGGGCTGTCAGATAAACCACAGAGCGGTCTTTCTTCATGTGTCATGACATACGCCTCACCTGTTAGACACCGTGTTTCAGAAAATGAGTCATGAATATAAATGCCAGGTGGAAGCCCAGCGCTAGGTGTCTTAACTTTCCCTCAGAGGTAAAACCTCACTTCTTACTGGCTGGCAGCTTTGCATCCTGAGTTCTGTGCAATTCAGTCTCCAACTCTTTCCATGCCCTATGGTAGAGTTTAAAGTTCCCTCAGAGTGGGAAAATGAAGAGTGCTTTTCAAGATCTGCATACGTCTGCAAAACTAGCTTAATGAACCTGCTAGCCAGAAATCTGAACTTATGCATGGATTTTATTTTCTTTTTCAAACCAGCAGGGAAGAGGTCATTGAACCACCAGCTGCTGAAGATACAGATAAAGCTGAAGGCAATTTCACAGAAGGCTATCCCTTTTTTTGGTTACTTGTCAGAAGTCTATTTCTGCCTAAAATTCACACACACTACTGTGTATAAGAAACACTAGCAAGACCAAGTTTCTTAAGTAATTTATTCCAAATATACCACTTCAGTGCTTAAAATGGAGCATACCCATTAACAAGACAGTGAAATAAAGCTTCAGTAACTTAGGAAATACTTCAGGCATGTAAGTACCCAGCTTAACCTTTGCTCAAATATTGTGAATATACTCACCAATTACTAATGATTATGAATCACTATATATATACATATATATATAAAAAAATCTCATCAGTCTTACTAACATTTACTAGTGCAGTCACATTAATGTGAAAACAAGTTCAAAATAATAAGCATTTTCAGGATCAGGTTCTTAATATTCTGTACATATACAAACTAGTGAAGAGGCCTCACCATAAGAAAAATTAAGTCTTACCTGTTTGAAATTCGTAATAGCTTTTATAACTGGAGAAGCTGTTATTAAAAAAATGTCTTCTGATGGGAATTCCATGGCCAGCTTGTAAAGAAACAGACATCATTATGAGTTAATAGAGTCATCAAAAGATTTTGACTTTAAGACAATAAAATTACTGGTGAAAAGTAATACGTGTTACTACATTACTTTAGTCTTGCAGAATCCTATTGGGTAAACACTACTTCAAGATTATGGAATGACAACGACTGAAATTAACAGAATTTGGAGACTCAAGATTCTAATTCATTCACACACAAATGTATCTTCAAGAACTGCATCCATGGTACAAATGACTACTTAAAAGACTATTCTTACAGTGTTCTAAAAGCCAACTGTAGGAACACACTACGATCACGTGATTTGTGGAGATACCCCCTTGCTGGACGTACTTTTTTTATTGCATAGCAATGACTAATGGCAATAATAACTAGATGTAAACTGTAGCCCAAAATTTTAAGACTGACATCATGTACTTTGCATCACTTACATATGCCCAAATGCTTACACCTGCCTCTTTAAGATTTAATGGCTGTTTGCAACTTTCATTCAGTCTTTTAAGGTTATTTAATTTCTTTAACTTTTAAAATACAAAAATCAGAAATCTGCCAGACATCATAATATACCCATGCATATGAAAATGTGTAAGTCATCACAATAAAGAAATAAATCATAGAATCATAGAATAGTTAAGGCTGAAAAGGATCTTAAAGATCATCTAGTTTCAACCCCCCTGCTGCGGGCAGCGTTGCCAACCACTAGAGCAGCTGCCAGGGCCCCATCCAGCCTGGCCTTGAACACCTCCAGGAATGGGGCATCCACAGCTTCTCTGGGCAACCTGTTCCAGTGCCTCACCACCCTGTGAGTGAAACATTTCCACATAATATTCAACCTAAATCTCCCCTCTCTT